AAGTAATTTATTTTGAGGCCAACTCTATAAAGTATAGAGCTTATTCTAAACCAGTCTGATTATCGGATGTGATAAAGTGCAAAATCTTTAATCAAACTCCACCTCATAACTCCTAGTTTAATGGCTAAATGTTGGAGGAAGGTTGGGTTTTGTTGGGTTTTGTTTTAACTTGAAATGACTTTTGAACTATGAGAGTGGCAAGCAAACTTTTTTAGGTATTGCAACATCATTTCCTATGTACCAAATTTAATGAGTGTTTCACTTTTTCTCCCCTCACTGCCCCAGATCAGCTTTCATTTATAAATGGAGTATAGACCCATGCTGGTCTGTGATCTGTGGTCCCACTCAAGTCATGGAAAGATTCACTCAGGCTTTGAATCAAGCCATGAAAAGTAGAGTTTGCAGAGGTAGCTTTACTAGGACTGTCCTTCATAGTCAAAGGGAACGTCAGGGCTGACAGGTGAATCTGTGTTGCAAACTCAAGTTTCTGTAAACACAGATTTGCTTTAATACATTCATTTAATTTATTAGCGTAAGAATAGAGGTTGAAGAAACTAATTAATAATGTTTCGGTTACATTTCTCTGATTAAACTATTAAACCAGTTTGCCAGAGATACGGGTAGAATTTTGGAGGTGGCGAGGGGGTGGGGCAGGGCAGAGGTTGACTTTCAGAGCTTAAAACTTGATTTCTCCAAGAACAACCATTTTGGGCTAATTTATTAGTGTTAAGAATAGAGGTTGAAGAAACTAATAATGTTTCGGTTACATTTCTCTGATTAAACTATTAAACCAGTTTGCCAGAGATACGGGTAGAATTTTGGAGGTGGCGAGGGGGCGGGGCAGGGCAGAGGTTGACTTTCAGAGCTTAAAACTTGATTTCTCCAAGAACAACCATTTTGGGCTATATTATGTACTTAATTGCTAAACTCCTTAGAAATCAACAGACAAGTCTTTAATTGAGGGAAAATTCTACTAAAATTAATGAATCCTCCTTTCAAAAATATTGGCTTCAATTAAATATATAGAAAATCTCAAAATCTGTAGTCAGAATGAAATGTTCTTAATGTTTCTAGTCAACGTGATGTATTTTTAAACCTCTAGCTATCATATTTATAATGAAGTAAAATAGCTGGATCACTCTTCATAATAATATACACATCACATCTGAATACTGCCTAAACATTGTAGTTTAATAAAATGTGTTCAACTGTTGTGCATAAATGTCAAGTGATATAAAATTCACTTTTTGATACAATAAGGCATGAATTGGGAATGAATTAGATGAAAAATATTTGAAGTATTATGCAAAACCATTAAGTCTATATTTTACCAGTGTGATTTAAGATTACTGAAAATAGACGCGGTTAGTCATTTTCGCTGACACATGTTGTGTTGCAGTGCCAGCTTTACTGTAGAGTTGCTAGGAGTCTTTACAGAGCAGTAATACACAGATTTGCTTTTAAGTTCTCATATAATCAGAATTAATGAAGGCTTTAATAACAGGCTTTTTATTTACTTATTCGCAGATGCAAATACATGAGCAATGTTGTGGTACTTTCAGCTAAATTTAAATACATTCTAATCAATTCTAAATGAGTGGTAAACCACTTAATCTCAGATCTTTATAATTTCAAGATATTTATGTATAAAGTATGCTCTTTTGTTTGGGATTTGCCTCTTAGATCCTTTACACTTTTCATCATCTGCAGTTCAATTTTTATATAGAGATATCTTTGACTGTGTGTGTGTTTATGTAAATACATCCATCATTCTTGAGTGCAGGGCAAAGAAAATAAATAATTGTCCATGCTAGATTGGAGGCGGGGAAAAAAAGAAGTACGTGGTTCCTGGGAGACTGTTCAGAATTCTTAAAGCAGATGTACTGAGAAGCAAATTACAGTGAAGTGTTTAATTGTGGCTTAAAGGACCTGGAGACCTAACTGTTTTCTCCATTTTTTTGCAATTTTACTCTTTAAAAAAATGAAAGTGGTTTTTTTTAGGCACGTACTCTTTGTTTTGCAAGAAAAGATTCAAGCCTTATCATGGCAAATGACACTACTTGCACTGTGTATCCACTGTTGATTTTGCTCTTTTTGAGTAATTGTATGATTGATTGATTGATTTTTTAAATGACAATGGGTATTGACATGGCCTGGCTTCATGGATCAGTGCATCGGTGAGAGACCAGCCTTTCTAGGCTCCCATTAGTGTTGATGGAGGTAGAGTGGTGAGGAAAATACTTTAAGAGGTGATTCTGAGCAGAAGGCCTACTCGTGATGCTCCTAACTACGCACATAAGGACTGACTCTATCCGTTACAGAAGTTTAAGGAAACTTTGGTGTTATGTATCCAACCTGGAGGTTATGTGACTGTATTCTGGGTTTCTAAGATCAAATTATTTCTGTAGCTGTTGGTTGAAATGGCACTTCAGAAATATTGGTAGGACTTCAGAAAGATCAGTAGGAATAGTAAAGTAACATTACAGGGAAAAAACAGTGATGCACTATTATTCCATCTTACTTTCCCCCCTCATCAAGGTATGGTAACATCTTTCAAGTGCTACTGCAGTACCGGTGTATAGTCAGTGGCTTCTTGTGAGAGACTGGTGACTGTTATCTGCAGTATTTAAGAACCCCTGAAATCCTGCTCATACAGACGTGTTCATTTATGACAGTGAGCGATGCCAGATGCGCCGCAGAAGTGGAATAATGTTAAGCAATTAGAGACCAGGCTGCTTATGGTGCTGTGGAAATTTCTTCCTACTGCTTTCCATTCATGTTTGGTATTTGTTTCGAAGCGTGACGCTTTTGACCTTTCCATCTCAATTTTGATTATAGAATTAGATGTGGTGCTGAATACTCTTATGGTATGAAATTTATAGTGTGTGTCATTTTGTTTTCTCAAAACTGACCAAACACTTGGCGTGAAGGATGTTGTGCCTCAGTTGTCTAAAATGCTGCGCTTCCCAAGTCATGCTCTGAAAAACAGTATTAATAGAAACTCTTTGTGAGGTAGAATAGGAATCTGAGTACGTCGAAAACTGAATGCTGAGATCGAGAAATTATTACTCTGGTATATTAATTTTTAATGGGCTGTCTTTCTAATAACATTTCATCTATCAAATAAATGATAAGCATATCCCAAGTGACTTGCAGGATATTCCCAGAAACGTGCAAGCATAATTCCAATGCCTATATATTTTAATGAACTAATTACAAATTAATTATAGCAATTACGCATAATCAATAGTATTTCTACGTTGTCCTGTGTTTTCTTTCGTCTGTCTTTAGGGATTTAAATGCTTAAAACAGAGCTGCCTTCTTTTTTTAATAAGGTCCTCTTGGAAGGCCTGTACGTATGTTCCTAAAACTTTGGGATACCATTAGAGAAATGGAGTAGAGTTACTCTCTTTGCTATAACAGGACTGTATTTATATAGGATACTGTTCAGATTCCCACAATCACTATGTATGAAAAAAAATGGTTTTCCCACTTTCCCGAATGTCCTAATTTGTAATTATGTGGTAGGAAATCTAAAATCTTCGAGAGTGCTTCTCTGCTAGCAAGGTCAATACTTGATGAGAGGCTGATCCTGTGTATTCTTGAAACGATCGTTTTCACTGGATTTTTTTTTTTCTCCCAGTGTGACGGCTTATTTAAACAAGAAACATTGAAGAGGTCTTAAAGTGAAATCTTCTGTGTATTTTTCTATTGCCACCACTGTGTTGGGATCTTGTCAAAGATCTTAGGCTAGACATTGCTTTTTCTTGATAATGCTTAGGTGAAAAGCCTGCAGAAGGAGAGGCAGCAGCCGCCACGCCGATAGGCTCTGCGTGCGGTGTGCTTTCTTCAGCTGATAGCGCGTGGTGCTCAGCAGAGACCTGAGGAGCAGTGTTGCATTGCTCGTGACGCTATCTTGAACAGGGACCCTGCCCCCCTTTTGGCCGTTAAAAAGGTGTGCTGTTCGGTCTTCTGGCCAACTTCTCCGTGAAGTAATATACTCTACCTCCCTTAATTTCCTTGTGATTTCACTTGGAGAAGTTGCTCTCTTTTTCACCTCTTAACTAACTTTTATGTAGTGTTGCTGGCACAGTTAGCGGCAAGTATGTTTTGATGGTGAATGAGGGACCCAGTACACTGTTTGTAGAGTGCTTTGGGATCATCTGTGATGCAAGGGGCCGTGGTAAGCTACGTTCTTTGTCAATAGACATGAAAGTATCCAGCTTAGCAGTAACTTTGTCTAGCCTGAAGCTGAACCTCCTAGCCAGCAAGTCAAGAGCTAAGCCATTGTTACTGAGACCAATCCTTTTTCTTAGAAAGAAATTAAACAGAAGAGGGCATGGTATGTCATCAGGTTAAAACAGAGGAGAAATACTGTATAAAAATGACAGTGATCCCAGGGTGTTAGAGCAAGAGGAAAACAAAAAATCACACAAGAGGAAGACTTCTAGAGAAAAAGAAGAGATCTCAACAGTACGAAAGGTACTTTGGCCCTGAAACAGTGTTTATCAAAGACCTGATGCATGGAGGCCAACAGATTCTGTCAGTAATGTCTTACAGAAATATTGGAAAAACCACAGGTAGCTGAATTGCAGATTTCTTGAGGCAGTATTGACCAGAAGGTAACTTGAATGGTCTGATGAGCTTTTATCAAATTAAACAAAAAGCTGAATAGACCTTATGTGGACCTTAATTTACTGTGCTTTGAAGTCAGAGTATTTTAAAGCAGCTGTTTTAAAGTGTGTGAAACTGGAAGGGGCAAGGGTTGGAATAGAGAGGGTTGATACTTTACATGCTTGTTCGGAATGCTTTTGAGATGCTGTTTCTCTCTCTCTCTGTGC